CATTGGACTTGGTTCTTCTGTAGAATGGTGCCATTTGACCTTACATTGTTACTAATATCTGACAGACATGTCATTCAACTGCAGGTTCACTTACAGCTACAAAGAACTGATGGAGGAAAGATATTTTGGCCAAGAATGGCCAATGGACATCTAAGATGCTATTTCATCAGAATGATAGGGGCTTTTTAACTTACTTCAAAAGATCTCCATTTTGGTAAGTATCTTTCGGAAAGTTTAACAAAAAAAAATATCTTGAATTGAAAAGATCTTCAGGTTCAGTAAAGTGCATGAGCACAAACCTTTGACACTCAGGGATCCTCAAATGATTTCTATTCAGGAGGTAAAAAAAAAAAAAAAAAAAAAAACAACTAATGTTGCAACATTTTTTTGTGTGTTAAACAAATAAATTATATATACACACACAAGCTGAGTGCTGGAAAATTGTCAGTTGTATCTACTTCCAAAATCACTATTTTATAGTGATTTTAGAAAAAGAACAAAAAAGTGGAAGTGACCAAAGAACATGAAAATGGCCAAAGAACAGTGGAAATGAAATCACCAAACAGAATATTGATTTGGGAAAGTGGGTTAGACTGAAAACTTTTCAGCAGCATCTCAGAGAAAAGTTGGATTAGCAGGTCTGTAGCCTGACACAGAAATTAACTGAATTTTAATCTGAAATTTTCACTGTATAATGTTCAACACCTGCGATTAGTATTTACTGCTAAATTAAGTGTATTGACAAGGAACAAGATAATGTCGAAATATATTTTTGTAAAATTAATACCATTTTTATCATAAGGCTATAGACTTATTTACCTATCTACATGTATTTTTCTTCTCTTCATCTTTCTCATCCCTACCCTCTTCTTTCTTCTATGTCCCTTCTCTTTCTTCCCCACTTTCTTTGGCTTGTATTCTTTTCACCAAATCCAATTATATTAGATAAAAGATGATATGAAACCTATCAACTAGTGACTTTTCTGTTTGTAGTAATTATATATAATCTTACAGATATTGATACATTATGGAAAAAAACCTGGAAAAAAAAAACAGGCCCTACCTAAAAACATTATTAAAAAGCAAGGAGAATAAACAAACACTAAAAGTCTTGGATGAAGAATCCTTGGAGGGAATCACAAATCGTAATGGTAAGAATTTGTCTATTGCTACAAATAGGTATTCATTGTGTTCTCGATGGTATATTACAGTGATGGTAAAGTGAGTAAAACCAAAATTCTAGGTCAGGACCAATAACATTGCAGATTCTTTGGATTTTATCAAGAATCTTTAAATATATAGCAGGCGCACCAGACCAATGTGGCAACAATATTCAATACATAGTAGACTTATAAATATGTAAGATAATTTTTTTTATTAAAATCTATCTTGCACGATACAGTGATCCAAATTTCCTAGCAGCAAGCCTAGCAATTGATTCAATATAATCTTTCCACTTTATGTCAGCAGAGAACATTAGCCAGAGAAGGCACAATGAATCACTCTCCTGGATCTTGACATTCATAGTTTAAGAACTCTAGATTTTTGGTAGCCTTATTAAATTTACCATGAAGTTTCAGTTGAGCACAGACTCAATTAAGATGAGCACATTTCCTTTACCCCATATAGCATGTTGTTAGATCTTACAGAGTTTAAGAGTAGACAAAGTTCAGGATTGATTGACTGATTTGTATTTTATGGCTTATCAACCAATTAAAAGCCAGAAAATATTTTTAGATTCCAAGAACTTTTTAGAGATAATGATTTACTGATACAAATCCTAATAATTAACCCATAGCTGAGGGGAGAAGGGTGTGGATTCATACCTTGCCCAAGTGTATTAGGGTGCAAGTAAATATAACAACCCCAACATGAATTTGCTCTGATTTTCATTTTCAAGCCATTATCCATGACACTGCCTGCACATTCAAGCTTACAATATCTGGTATCCCAAAGTGGTCACTTATCTAGGTACAGGCTTAACATTGGTGATTGTACAGGAACTGGTATTTTAACATGATATGGGCCTAAGCCACCAAGTGCAGGAGTTGAGCAACTCTAAAATGATACAAATCATTATGGAATTGAATAAGCTGACCAAAATCAAACTGTATTTTTCCCCTTATTATGGTGTGGAGGTGCTTATTTATTTGATAGTGGAGGCTTATTCAAGGAAGAGTGCATATTTGAAGACTGAAAGCATGGATTTTGACTTGTTTAAATTAAAGTGTTGTCATCAGGCAGTTTTGAAGAATATTCTGATTTCAGGAAGAGATCAAGTGGAAGATGATTCGTCATCTTCCACTTGATCTCTTCCTGAAACTTTAATACTATCAAGATAAGAGAATGTATTAAGGTTTTCATTAACAAATTAGTTGATAACATGCTAAAAAGGTCACCATACCATTAGTGATATTAAATGGTATTCATATGATTAGGTTTATTCATCTGTTAGTCTCAAAAAAGCAATAAATGGTTTACGATCATCATCATAAATTGATCCATAATACAAGACACTCAAACGTTGCAAAATTATTGATAGGGCTTCAATGGCAGAAATCATTGTGCAATAGCAGATCTGTATTTCTCCCCTATTATGGGGGTATGCTTATTTAAAAATTACTTCTTGATAGTTGAAATTTATTCAAGGGAGAGCAATTATTCAAAGACTGAAAGCATGGATTTTGACTTGTTTAAAGTGTCGTTGTGAGGCAGCTTTGAGCAATATTGATCCCTTCTTGCAATGGTATCACCAGGATATGAGAAATGTAAGGTGGTGCTTATTAACAAGTTTATCAATAGCACACTGAAAGGTCCCCCCCCACACACACCATTACTGATGCTAAATGGTATTTATGTGAATTGGTACAGGTATACATTAGCCTAAAAAGCAGGAAGTGGTTTGTCATCATCACACAGCAGTACTTGATACAACACACTTTTCAAATCAAATGTTGAGAAAACATGATAGTTTGCCAAATTATTGATAGTGTTTCAGTCTTTGGTAACAGATCAATGGCTTCAAGCTCAGTAAATATAAGAATAGAGCTTTAATCTTCGGTACCTTGACATTAATAATTCAAGCAAATTACTAGATTGGCAACATGGTCTCATCATTTTACAATTGAAATTGCTAGATGTAACCGTAAGTTCTATGTTAACAGTTTCTTCTTTCTTTCCAGTCAACTGTGATTTTCCAAAATTTAAATGCAATGTCAATTGCCATCTTCTCTTTCCTTAATTCTTTTTTTTTATTATTATTATTGGCTTCTCTCCTTAATGTTTCTTTTCACAGATTCTTTCATACTCAATAACTCTTGTGACTTTATTACTTTGTTATGGATAAAATCATATACAACAATATATTGCCATAAAAGTAATATGATGAAGAGAGCTTTGATCTTCAAACATTTAAAGGCAATGTCAATTGTTATCTTCTGTCTTCTTAATTCCTGTTCTTTAATTGTTTTCTCTTTAATAACATTTTTCTGTTTCTCATATTATTTCACTCAGTAACCCTTTGCATCTTAGTGGCTTTATTACCTTCCATAAGATGAAATTATTAATAAAAGGTAAAGTCTACACATGCATACTTTTTTATGAAAATCAAGCCCATCCTTCACAATTATGACCATATCTCACACCAGGGAATTGAATTCGGCTCAATAATTTACTTCTCCAACACGTGCCCAACTTCTGATCGGCAACACTATACACACAAGATCGAATTACAATCAATTACACATATGGCTTCATGCTTGTAAACAGTTGTGGCATATCTAATCTGATACCACAAATTTTAGTCTCAGATCATTAACCTTTGGATTGGGTTCAATGTCACCATACAAATTGGTAAATAGAATGCTGTTTTTTGAAAAGCTAAACCAAGAATAATTTCTCCATAGAAGTTTCCAATTATCTCCAAACATGTTATTTATTACTATGTCAGTGTGACATATACCTTTAACAGGAACATGTTTGGCAGCCATAGATAATGTGATATATTGTATGGTGAGCTTAATCTTCAGCTCAAACGTCCACATGAGTTGTAGTCTATGAAACTACCAGAACAAGCTGAATCAATTAGGATGAAGGCTGTATAACCATTTATCAATATGGAAATGGTGGAAGATGACAAAGTTTCTGTTTTATCACACTTCTGTCCAGTGTTCAGCTTTGCCACAGAAAGTGCATTTGCTATTTCAAGCGATAATGTAAATTATTGCCACAAATCAAAATCTCTTTTATATCGTAGCATTGACTGGATCTGAGCTTGCTTGCAAAAAGGTAGAATTCTTATTGGAAATTGTATAATTTTCTGCATGTAGAGCAACATTTGACATGCTTAAACATAATGCATTGAGCATGCTTTGAAATTTAGGAGACTCACAAACTTGGTTCAGTATCAGTTCCAAGCTTATCGTCAATATATCGTTCCAGTTTGAAGGCAATTTAAAAAAAAGCATATTGACCCAATTCTTCACAATATTGCTACATAACATCTATAATCTGACAGGCTTTAGTTTGGGATATCATTAAAGAAATTTGTGAGTAGTTTTGGTTGTTAAATGTTACTGTGTGATTATATGATTGATTGATTTTTTTTTTTTATGGTTTATCAACCTTTTGTTGATTATTTCAAGCCAGAAAATATTTTTAGGTTTTAAGAAATGTTTTTGAAGATAATAATTTATTGATACAAATTCTATGAATTAATCCATAGCTGGGGGGAGAAGAGGTGGATTCATACTTTTCTCAAGGGAATTTGTATATAAGTGAATATAATGAACCTGACTGAAATTGAAACTTGACTCTCCAATTTCAAGCCGTTATCCATTACACCACTTGCATATCCAAGCTTACAGCACCTGGTATTCCCAAACAGTCACCCATCTAGATTCTGACCAGGCTCATCGTTGCTTAGCTTCAGTGATTGTACACAAAACCAATGTTTTCACTGTAATATGGCCATGACATACCAACTGCACATCTAAGCTTAAAGCACTTGGTATTCCCAAGTAGTCACCCATCTAGGTGACCAGGCTCAACATTGCTTAACTTCAGTGATCAAACAAGAACTGGTGTTTGACTATAATATGGCCATAGCTGATACCTCCTACACATCCAAGCTTAAAGCACCTGGTATCCTTAAGCGTCCATTTACCTAGGTAATGATCAGGCTCAATGTTGCTTAACTTTAATGGCTGTATAAGAACCAGTGCTTCAGTGTGATATGGCTGTAAGCCTCTGGGTAATTATTAGATGTTTGTATTCCATTGATGATATGTAAGTTTCATTGAAGCTGATTCTTCCTACAAAGTGCTGCTTTGTGGTACCAACTCCCAAGAGTATGCTTCCCCGATTATTACAATCTTAGCCTGATCAAGTCTAGAGTCAACCATTATCTTCTTCACCTATCTCTATAAAATGTACCTGTTATTCTGTAACCTTCTATCTTGAGTGGCTCATGAGCCTTGCACAGAGGGAACATCATTGAAAAAAAAAAAAGAAAAAAAAAAGGTCATTCAGATTTGATTCCATACAGCATCATCAGCGAAGTTAAATTCTATCAAATTTTGCTTGGCATTATCAGGAAAGTACAATGCAATATTTAGGCCCAGATCACTTAACCAGATAGAAATTTAAACGATTTCCTCACAGCTTCAGTAATAGTCTCTTTCTCATGAGCAGAATTTCCTGTTGATTTAAGGCTTACAACATGAATGCAACAGATCACCATGACTGATTCAATATAGCCAATAGAGCAACATCAGAGATATCACATTCTATAACATATGGCTTGGAGTTATCAGGACAGTGCAATGCAACATTTATGCACAGATGTATTGAATGATGAGGATGATGATAATGTTCCGACAGAACTGATAAAGTAAAACTAGAAACTACTCTTGAAAAGGACCTCCAATTAGTGGTTAACTGGGGCAAGAAATGGCTTATAAATTTGAATGCCTCCAAAACAAAACTGCTTTCATTTAATCACCTATGCAATCAGTATGCCTGATACTAAACTACAGGAGAGCAACACTTTGTGCTTTCTTGGGCTCACATTTTCCACTGAAAAGCCTTGTAATCTGGTATGTCATTATCATCTTGCTTGGGGTGAAATGATTAAGGAAAAAAAATACTAAACTACTTACCATAAACTAGAAAGATGAACAGTCTTGTCCTGACAACAAATACCTTCTCATCTACATTTAAAACTAGATGCCAATGTCACTGGGAAAAAATGAGCCCATATTGATACTTTGAGAAGCTTTTCTAAAGGATGAATCAAAACAGTGGCTCAGGAATTGCTGTAGCCAGCCTGTTAAGTTGGAGAATTAATATTTGGACAATTAGATACCATATATACTCTCATACCATGCAACCTTTGAAGACCAAATTTTGAAGTTAATTTGACTACAGTAAATGGATATAGAGTTTGGTCAACAGCATAGCCAGGGTCAGCAGTACATGTGCTAATTTTATATCTCATGTATGATGTGATCTCCTTAAAATTAACTTCAATATTAGGTCTTCAAAAGTTGCATGATATGCATGTATATATGGTATATGTTAAAACAGTTTGAATATGTTAATATTTCAGCCATTTTGAAAATGATAACCTGATAGAGAAAAAATATTGTTTTAATCTATTGACATAAGTATCACAAACATTTTAGACTTTTTATTTTTCTTAACCAAATAATCATTTATGAATAAAAAAAAAATATATGAAACTACTATCATAAATATTGAATGATTAGCAACCAATTTTCAAGATCTTTTTGATAAATCTCAAAATGGAAAGAGGAATTTAACATAAAATAGTGTCAAGAAGGATATCTCCACCGTTTTCCATATATTTTATAAATGGTCATTACCTTAAGGTAGCTTCACTCTGCCTTTTCTGTAAATACTTTCATGGTAATTGTTTGGATGAGCTCTTTGCTATAGTACCTAGACTTTTTAAATTTAAGCACAATATTAGATTAGCAACAAGGTCTCATCAATTTACAGCTGAATTGGTTAGAAGTAACCATAAGTTCTATGCTAACAGTTTCTTTTCTTGCCCTTCTTTGCTTTTGGAACTCTCTTCCAGCTCCATGCTTTTCAGCCAACTTTGATCTTCAAAAATTTAAATGCAATGTCAAGCATTACTAGTGCCTTTCTGATTACTTTTCTATTGTTCTTGCTCCTTAAAAATGTTTTTCTTATTCTCTCAAATTCAGTAGTTTTTTTTATATTGACTGATCCATTTTCTATAGTTTATCAACCACTTGTTTATTTAAAGCCATAAAATGTTTTTAGATTGTAAGAATCTTTTTGTTTTGGGTAATAATAATGGTTTAGTGATCCAAATCTTACTAATTAACCTATAGCTGGGGGAGATGAGGTGGATTTATACCTTTCCTAAGGGTATTTGCGCATAAGTGAATATAACAAACCCAATGGAAACTGGAACCCAGCTTTCCGGTTAACAATTCCAAGCCATTTTCCATTATACCACCTGCACATCCAAACTTACAGCAACTGGTATTCCCAAGCGGTCACCCAGCTGACCATACTCAACATTGCTTAACTTCAGTGATTGAACAGGGTCCAGTGTTTCAATGTGATGTGGCCAAAGCTGCATTTTTACAGTAAAATTATTTGCAATGAATTTCTATATATGCTTTTAGTATTTGTAATCATTAGAATGAATCAAACTTTTGATGCATATAATAAATACAATATATACTCAAGTATAGTGCAAGTTTTTATGATTAGTGTTTTACGCAAAAATTAGGGGATCACGATATACACAGATGAACGTGCTTTTAGAAGTTGCTACATCACCTGATATGTTACCCTTAGAGAAAATCAAAGCTTGGGTGGATTTAATAAATCTAATTCATTTCTTGAGTAAAATAATTTCCAGTGTCTATTTATTGTAAAATTGTTTTACTATAAAAATGCATTGAAGATTATGTCCAATGCATTTTTATAGCAAAATTATTGTGAATGCCATTTTGTAGAAAAATTATTGCCAATGGCATTTTGTAGAAAAATTATTGCCAATGGCATTTTGTAGAAAAATTATTGCCAATAACTTTTTATAGCAAAATTATTGCCAATGAATATTCTGTATATGCTTTTAGTATTTGTTGTACATAATAGCAGTTCCACCATTGCATCATTTACCCTGCTGACCACAAATAAAAAGTGCACAACCTCATTCCTGTAACAAATGCTATCTCTGGCTTTGATTGTAACTGAAATGAAAGATAATGGATGAACTTCTAAAGGAATAAGATTTACAAGTTAATCAACTGGAAATAGCACAAAAAAAACAATAAGCTGTCTGTATCAAACTGTGGAGACTATCAGGCAATTGTTAAAAAGTTATTCCCCCAGACAATTCACACGAGGGCAGTGAGTTCAATTTTTAATGAATGACCCCACCGACACCACCAAAAAAGAAAGAGTTAGGTGTGTTTAGCGAGTACAGTCATTGTAAGTCTGTTTAGAAATTCAGAACAGTTAAACATGGCTGTCATGAAGACCAACTTTAAATCAGAAACTGAAAATATTTGTTCAGGTTCATCTTAAGTAATGTTATGTTCATGTGCTCCTGATATATATTTAGAGAGTCTTGATAAAATCCAAAAGAAGAATCTTCAATATTATTGGTCCTGACCTGACATCTCGGCTTCAGTCACTTTCCCACAGGCATAATGTAATTTCCCTGTGCCTTTTCTATAAATACTTTCATGGCATTTTATGGGATTCAGGTAAGTGTTTAATGACAGGTATTTGTCTGTATAAACTTTTCAGGTTTATTAAAGTCAGAACATATTTTTAGATTGTAAGAAATTTTTTTTGTTTTGTGAGATATTAATGATATAGTGGTACAAGTCTAATGACAGATAGGTACATGTCTGTATAAACTTGAATGTAATAAGATGCATATCAATAAAATATATAAGCACATAACTATCTATCTTACATATTTATAACTACCATTCATTCTATCTTTGAACATTGCTAGCATATCTGATCTAGTGCTCCTTCTATACATTTAGAGATTCTTGATCAAATCCAAAGAAGAATCTGCAATGTTATTGGCACTGACCTAGCATCTCAGCGTCAGTCATTTTCCCATCTCTGTAACATAGCTTCCCTGTGCCTTTTCTAGAATTACTTTAATGGTAATTGTTCTGCTGAGCTTTCCTCTATAGCACCTAGCGTTTATGAATTTAAGTGCAGTACCAGATTGACTGAAAGTTGTTTTTGTTTTGCAGTTGAAATGGCTAGATATAACCATAAATTCTATGGTGAGAGTTTCTCCTGCTGCACTTCTCGCTTGTGGAACTCTCTTCTAGCTTCTTGCTCCCCAGTCAACTTTGATCTACAAAAATCCAATGTTAATTGTTAAATTCTTAATAACTGTTCTATTATTATTCTATTGCTTTCTCTCCTTAATTGTGTTTCATTTTGTTTTTTTTTCTTTCTTATATTCTCTAAAACTCAGTAATCACTTGCATCTTAGTGGCTTTACTGCCTTGCTCTGGGGTAAAATGATTAAAAAAAATAATATTTTGGTCAACATCATCAGATAAAGATCATTTAGTTAACTCTCTGATCAAGGTGGTTACATTTGAATATTTACTAAACTGAATATTCTCTAGTACAAGATCAATTAGTATAAAAGAGGCAGGTGAATTATGTTGGATTCAGTGTATGCATGTGGGAAGTCTAACTTGCTCAAAAATCTATATTTAAAATATTTATCAAAAAAATTCAAACCATGCATTTTTTTCAATAATTAGTACACAACTAAGTTATATTATCTATTTTGTTTTATTTAGAAATGTCTTTGTTCAAAATAACCGAGAATTAGGTAAGCTGTAGTTAAAGTATTGAAGGAATAAAAAACCAGGTAAGGTAAACATAGAAAAAGAAGGTTAATTAAAATACTCATACACAGAATGAAAAAGCTTGAATAATTCAACTATGCCTCAAATCCTCCTCTAATGTGGCTACTTGATGTATTTCTAAGTAGGAGCAGTCTATTCTTATAGTAGTAAGGAAGAGCAGGAATTACCTGCATCACTCTGGGCA